CTCAAACAAACAAACAACAAATACTGAAAAGAATGCAGGCTTTAGAGACATGCCAATGTTCAACAAACTGCTAATCTCTCTGGCCTCAGTTTTGTCCATCTGTAAAATGGCACTGCAGTTAGCACTGCTGTGCTACTGTTAGCATTGTTGTGAGGAATACATGATGGGAAAAATAAAACAGCGAGCACAAGTAGGTGTCCAACAAATACTGAATCTCTTTCCTTTACCTGTATATCCAATTCATGTTCCTCTTTTGCTTCTTTCTAACGATGTCATATTGACTCATTCAGCCTACATTTACTGCTCGCCTACTAGGTGGAAGGCAACGGGGGCACAACACTGAAGAGACCAATCTGGTTCCTCCTAGCAGGAGCAGCAGTCCCACGAAGCATCACGGAGAAGGTGGTGATTTCAGGTGCATGTCTTAACGAGGGATCATGCACAAGCTGTGTGAACCCACAGCATGGGTGCCTCACCCAACTGCTGGGACAGATCTGGGGGACTGCCACTCTACAGGTAGTGGTCTTGGGTCCTAAGCCTAGCGTGGGGCCACATTCACCAGCTGGGTGACTCTGGACAAGTTACTTTAGCTATCTGTGCCTCAAAGCAAACAGTAAGCTAAGAGGTTGCTTCCAGAGCAGGATGCTGTTTAAAATGACTACAGCTTTTATATCAAATGGGGAAAATACAAATAACCCACAATAATACAAAATCTGGTAAGTTAAAAACTATAGGATAAGAAGGCAGTGCTGTGAGGCATGGTTAACAACTGCAGGTAAGGCAGCAAACAAGAAAAAAACAGTCGAGGATTCAAAGATAAAGTTCTTATAGACCATTACTACAAGTGGAGAATAGGTTGGTTTTGGAGAATTTTTTTCTCCTCACTAAGAAAAGTAAAACTCCATGCTGACATTACAAATATGTGGGGTCAGATCTTTAAGACAGGGATAAGAATGCAACCAAAATTCAGAGTATCTTTCAGGTAAAACCTAACAGTAGAGAGATGTAAAACAAACAGTTGTAATATTACCAGGATTTTGCTGGAAGCCTCAAATTTAGAGACAGTCCTGAGGATAATTGTTAGAATCAGAGGATGAAGAAAGATGGATGTAGAAAAGGGGTGTGACTAGAGCGGGAGACCCAGGTGACACTCTCTGCCAATAATACACTGAAGGTTCACACCTTCACACAGTCTATCTACTTTGGGAAACCAATTAACTTTCCCACCCACTGAGTCAGAAACACAGTAATAGTTATTAAATTCAGTACCTTAAAAAAGGAAGGAAATTCTGATATACAGTACAACATGGATGAAGCTGGAGGACATTAAGCCAGTCATAAAAAGGCAAAAACTGAAGGATTCCACTGACAAGCAACCCCTGGAGTAGTCAAACCATCATAGAGACAGTGGAATGGATGTTGCCAGGGGCTGGGGAGAAGAGGAATGGGGTGTGACAGAGTAATGGGGAGTTTCAGTTTTGCAAGATGAGAAAGTTCTAGAGACTGGGTGGCACAATAATATGTGTATGAATGTATTACTGAAATTAACATGGTTAAGATGGTAAATTTTTTGTTATATATATTTTACCATAATTAAAAATAAAGGCCTGGCACGATGGCTCATGCCTGTAATCCCCCTAGCACTTTGATTTTTTTTTTTTTTTTTTTTTTTTT